TATATTTGATAAGTTTGTAAAGGAAAATGAAGAAAATGAAGAGATGAGGATTTTGGGGGATACTAAGGAAAAAATTCAACCGACGTTATGAAGAGTTTGTTGAGATCTTGAGAATGTCCGCAAGATATTATTTCCATAAATTCGATCGAGTGCTACGAGCATTAGTAATGAACGAAAATTGGTCATCAATGTTGAAAACGCCGGCACTGAATTTTTCCACGGCCCTAAATTAATTCACTAATTTGAAGGAATTAATTAATTCGATGGAACCGGGCTTTGACATGATACAAGTCAATTCTTAAAAATTTAGAGCAAACAAAGAGCATTTGCAGTTTCCGGGGGAAAAAAGGGACGAGATGCTATCACAACTGGAAAAAATAGAACTTTTAACTCTACAAAACGTAACTAAATCACATACAACTGCTGCCATTTTGAAGAACAAAAAATTTTCTTTGAGATGCTATATGCTATATGCCATATGCTATATAAATATTCCCATTAATTTACTTTGAAAATACAGAAGAATAAAACGAAAGTTGAAAGGTAGGTAAAACATGAAAATGATATTTTCGCCTTGAAAACGACATAAGTCCATGAAAAATGGTGGAAATGGCGTAACCCACGTATTCTATCGCAGCTTCCCTGAATAAGCTTTCACCTCGATACAAAAGAAAGACAGAAATAATCCGAAAAACCGAAAAAAAAATTGAGGGCCGGCCAGAAAAAGTAATATACGCGAAAAATATCTTAATTACACGTTCATATATCTCAGCCCAAAATGCAATATATCAGATATATCCTAAATATACGTAACCAAATATATAGTATACATATTGAGGATGAAAAGTAAAGTATATGTAACATAAAGTATAGCAATAAAATATAAAGGAAAATGTACCATTTCTGCTCCTTTCAGATTCTGCATTGCCTCCCCTGACATCTCTCTGATTGGGATGTTCACCAAATGTTTTTTTCTTAAAAAGTGGAGTGCTCGTTGACAAGGACAAGCCAAGTGGTGGTGGTTCTCCAGAAATGGGTACGCCTTTTTGATTTTTAATACTCTCAAGCGTACCACTCTTATGTGATCTTGCTTCTAGAGTACTAACGGAGCCACCGGTGCTGCTGCTGCTTCCAGCAGCGCTGTAACCTCGATTAGCAGATGTTGATGGAGGCTGAAGAATATTGGATCGCTGGTGATGACGATGCGGTGATTCCAGAAGACGATAAGCAGCACCTGACTCCAAAGATGTACGACTATGTGACACTGAGCTGTCACTTGAGCGGCCAGAGTCCTGGGAGTGATTGTGATGACGTCTGGCTGATGATGAGGATGATGGCTGGTGGCTCGTTTGATCATGGTGACGATGGGAGTGACGATTATTGTACTGATGGTGGTGATGATGATGATGGTGGTGGTGTGGACGTCTTGATGACGGAGATGGAGACTGCGGTGATAATTTTGAGTCGATACCTATTCCTGAGGTACGAGGCTTACTACCACTGCTCAAGTGCTGAAATCATTTTTATTTTCCATTAATTTTTACAAGGAATTACGGTTTATATTAATGAATCGAGCGGGTTTAAAGTGGGAGTCATTGATACTAAAACTAAATTAACATTCAGATGTAGGATCTATTGAATATAATTTTGCGTTTAAGGCCCGGGTGGACTATCTACGGAATGTCATCTTTTATTTAAATTTTATCTTTTTAGCCCAAAATACATTAAAATTTGGGATCAAATTTGAGTTTCGGGAGCTACTCGAATGGTTATAAAAAAATAATGAAAAAAAAGAGGAAAAATTATGGAAGGGCGCTGAAGAGCGATTTTGTTTAATTACTTTTCCCATTTTTTTACTGAAGAATTCGTTATCAGAAAAAATGGAAAATTGCCGTATAATGCAGAAAATCGATAGAATATAGAACTCCATTTATTAGGAAA